TTGTAGATCGATTGACAAAATCTGTTCATTTCTTGCCAATCCGAGAAGACTATAAGATGGAGAAGTTAGCTCAGATCTATATAAACGAAATCGTCGCTAGGCATGGGGTGCCTACTTCCATTCTATCGGATAGAGACAACCGTTTTACGTCAAGGTTTTGGCAGTCGCTTCAGCAAGGAATGGGTACCCGTCTGGACCTAAGCACCTCTTATCACCCCCAGACAGATGGACAAACCGAAAAAACAATCCAAACCCTGTAAGACATGTTGCGAGCCTGTGTTATAGATTTTGGTGGAAGTTGGGACACGCATCTTCCATTAGTGGAATTTGCTTACAATAACAGCTACCATACCAGCATCCAATGTGCGCCTTATGAAGCTTTGTATGGGCGCAAGTGCAGATCTCCATTGTGTTGGTCAGAAATTGGCAATAAACAGTTAACAATTAGAGACCATTAGAGTTCCAGAAAGGCGATAAAATTTTTCTAAAGGTCTCACCATGGAAAGGAGTGATGCATTTTGGAAAGAGAGGCAAGTTGGGCCCTCGTTATATTGGCCCCTTCGAAATAGCAGAAAGGATTGGACAAGTGGCATACAAGCTAAATTTGCCCTCGGAGTTAAGCGCTATCCATGATACATTCCATGTATCGAATCTCAAAAGATGCCTAACAGATGAAACTCAAGTAATGCCACTGGAAGATGTGGAAGTTAACGATCAACTGCGTTTTGTTGAAAAACCCATAGAGATCATGGATAGGGAAGTTAAGCAGTTGAAGCGTAACAGGATTCCCATATTAAGAGTTCATTGGAACTCAAGGCATGGACCGGAGTACACGTGGGAAAGGGAAGACTCCATGAAAAACAAGTATCCCCACCTGTTCTCAAGCTAATCATGATTTGGATTTTTACGATTAAATTTTGGGACGAAATTTTTCTGGATTGGGGAGACTGTGACAACTCTGCATTGTGGGATTTCAGGTTAGTACTTTATTACAGGATCCTGATTGAAAACTAAGTCTTTTTAGGATTTAGCCTCGATGACCAGAGATCGTCTTGTTTAATTAGTCTGATTAGATCATGTTTCGACGGTAGCTAACCAAGTTAGTTCGTGCAATGCCAAATAATCTTGAAATATTTCACATAAAAATAAAGCTGATATTTTTGTCTCGTTCTTCTTAAAATCCAAATTTCCTAAGTTCCAATCTTTTATATTTGGTTGCCTATTATTATTTTGAAAGAGTGGAGTTTTAAAAATCTTTTGTCAAAATTGTTTTGTTTGTTGTATTTATTGGGGCCTTATATTTAGAAAATAAAAGCCTTCTTGGGCTTGGGCCTTTAGAGTCAGCCCATTTCTTCTCTTGAAGCCCCATATAAATACCCCCTTCTCTTTTGAAAATTCTTCATTCTTCAAAATTTTGCAGCCATTTCGTTTCTCTCACTCTATCATTCATCACCTTCCAACCGATTCCATCTCCTTGCAAAGCGCGAAGATTTCTGTTGTTCTTGAGATTTGTTCATATCATTCGACCAAGAAAAGATATGTTTTAAAAAGTTGTTTATTCTCTTTAGTTGTTCGAAACTCGTTATCCTTTTCCCTACTCGATTCTTTGGGTAAGATTTATGGGATTTAAAGAGGAGAGATTATTCATCAAAGACCTGCATGTGTATTCGTTGGATGATAATCTGTGACCCAAGATTCTTTAGTCCCTAGGAAAGAAGAAGAGAGTTCTTGCATGTGAGGTCCGATCATATTCTTGGATGATTGAATCTTGCATGCATCTTTGAATAGGATTTCCCGTCATGTTAGCTTTCTAGAATCAAAATTCTTATTTGTTTTGTTTCCTTTTCTGGAATTTATTTAGAGATATTGATTTTGTGTTGAAAATCTAAGTTCTTGAAATTGTTGAGCTCGAGACCCTCCCCACCAATGCTGTCGTTCTTGGGCATGCAACCGGTTTTAGGGAGGCGTGTGACTCAAGGTTGTAGATTATTCTTGAAAAGAGTGTTAAACTCACTCAAAATCCCTTGATTTTGTTAGATGGCGGCTGCCATCATTGTTTTGGGATGACATTTAATGATGTCATTATTTGGATTTTGGAAGGTTCCTTTTTAATAAATAATTAAAATCGGCTTTATTTTATAAAAACATTGGATGGCTTTGCATTTAAAACAACTTGAATCTACCTTAGTCAAGGAAACCATTAAGTTAATATAGCGCTGGTTGGTCTGTCAGGAAGTTCGAGCAAGCATAGCAAGTCCCTAGAGGAAACACACGGATATACGCCAAACTTATGAGTTCTCACGACCCCATTTTTAATGCTTTTTATATGTTTTATGAGAGAAAAACATGAGATTAAGCAAACTTTGCATGTTTATGTTTTAAGATACTTGTGACTAAAGAACTGTTTAGTCGATGCTTTACTTGTAATCTCTTGGGCTAAGGAATTTCTTAGTCAAGTTTTACTTGGAACCTCTTGGGCTAAGGAACTGCTTAGTCGGGTTGCTATATTTTGTTTGATAAATATTATTGCACTTAGAATAAATGCTAAATTGATGTGCTTGAGAGTATATGTTTCCAAATGAAAGTCCCCGTCCGTA